TTTTTTTTTTTTTTAATTCAAATCAAACTCAACAATCAACATTAACTCAATTCAATATCATTAATATTATTAATATAATTAAATAATATTAATCAATAATTCTTGATTTTATTTCTTTATTGATGAATTTTAAGTATTTGTAAAAATGAATTATTTGATAAACAAGCACCACTAACTTTTTTATTATTTCCTCCATAAATTGGCTTGTCCAATCTCATCTTCTGGACCTTTCCCTGTCACTTCCCTTGGTCCAATCACTGTCTCCCCAAAAACCGAAAAAGAAAAATGGCAAAATTGGAGGTGATATCTTCAACTCTCGTTCCCATGGCGTCGGCCGATACAATGCCTATACCCCGTCTCGATCTGACTCCATGGGACCTGCAGATGCTCCTCCTCGAACCCATCCAAAAGGGCATTCTTTTTCACAAACCTGAAAAACAAATCGACGTCATCCATCGCCTGAAAACCTCACTCTCCCGCGCGCTTGACCACTTCCCTCCGCTTGCCGGCCGCCTCGCCACCGAAAACAGCAGCGAAAACAACAACGCTGCCGTTTATTTCGTCGACTGCAACAATAAAGGCGCCGGCTTTACACACGCCGTTGCCGCCGGCGTGTCGGTCGCCGACATTTTGGAGTCCAAGTACACGCCGGAAATCGTCTACTCCTTTTTCCCACTCAACGGGTCCCGCAACTTCCGGGGAACCTCCGACCCACTGTTCGCCGTCCAGGTCACAGATCTCGAGGACGGCCTGTTTGTCGGGTGCACGGCTAACCACGCGGTGGTGGACGGGACCTCCTTCTGGCACCTGATCTGCTCCTGGTCGGAGATATCCCGCGGTCTCAGTGAAATCTCGAAATTGCCCTCATTCGACCGCGTATTCCCCAATGTCCCCGTGCCCATGTTCGACGGCGGCACGGTGGCGGAAATCGTCCGACCGCCTCTGCTTGAGCGGGTTTTCCACCTGAGCAAGGAGAAACTGGCCGGACTCAAGGCCAGGGCTAATTCAGAAGCCGCCGTCGCCGGCGGCGGCCCAATATCGTCCTTTCAAGCGCTTGTGGCCCATTTGTGGCGGTGCGTGGCCCGCTGCCGGCGAATCCGCAGCCAGACTACGGCCGTCCAACGGTTAGCTCTGGCGATTGGGGCCAGGGGCAGGATTCCTCTGCCCCAGGGGTATTTTGGGAACGCTGTCTCTGTTTGCTTTCTTGCCTTAAGCGATGCCGAGCTTCTGGGGGACGGGCTGGGCCGGATTGGGCTCAAGCTCAATGCGCTTGTTGCCCAACAGGGGACAGCGGAGGCCGTGTTGGGCTTCGTGGAGGAATGGGCTCGAGGCCCGGCGCTGATCGTGATGGGGAGCTCGAATTTCCTGGTCTCGAGCTCGCCCAGGTTCGACGTGTATGGGAATGATTTTGGATGGGGGAAGCCCGTGGGAGTGAGGAGCGGGAAGGCCCAAAAGCGGGACGGGAAAGTGACGATTTTTGGGGCGGCCGACGACGGCGGCGTAGAGGTGGAAGTCTGCCTTGCGCCGGAGACACTCATGGCGCTGGAGAAGGACGGCGAGTTTATGGAAACAATCGACGAGAAGTTGGAAATAATGGGAGTTGATTAATTCGTGGAACATATTTATTTAGTCGATGAAGTGCTTTATCTTTTTTTTTTTTTTCATCAATGTGTGAGGCTTTAGAAATTCACTATTTACGTTGTCGTATTAGTTACTATCAAGTTTTAAAGATTTCAAGAGCATAAATTAATATGTATTCTCATATTGGGAGCGTGTTAATCTCGTGTTGGAAGCTGTATAGTTTGTTGTATTGTGGGTGCGTTATTGTAGTTGTTTCTAGGCTACATTCGTGTAGGCCTGTTGAATTCAGCTGTGTGGCTATTTGGTTATTATAACTATTTGCTAGTTGTAATTACGTGTTTTTCATTTTATGAAATTTCTATCGTTTCGGAAAAAAAAATAAATAAATTAATAAATTGTCACTTCATGCTCAATTTAGATGTCCTGTTTATTATGTGAGAGTTTCATTATTGGGTCAATTTTACAGTTGGACATAGTTTTCACATTTTAGTTATAAAAAATAGAATTTCTGGAGAATTGGTTTAGTTTTCTTTCAATTATGGAAGTGAATACATGTGTCAAAATATTGCGCGTGTTTGCTGCCCATAATACAAACACTAATAAATATTGCGCCGGGAACACCTCTCGACTCATTTTGCAGGTCTAATTCTTTGAACTAGTCAAGAAGCCAATCCATGGTTGTTCTGGTCCGGTCGAAGCCCTTCACACACCAGAGAGATATTGCAAAACTTATGAAGAATCAATTTGCAAGCATCGTATCACTTATTGATGTCACAAGGGCCATGTTATACTCCCCTACATATATGAAAAAAATGATAAGGAATTAAGAATTAATACATTTTTACAATATATTTATAATTAAGTTAGTTAAATATCTTTTTTTTTAGAAAAAAA